CCCAGAACTTGCCCTCAGGCTCCCCCATGCGGGCTGTGCCCCCTCGGGGAGCCCCCACGGTCTGGATGCTGGTTGGTGTGTGGCTCAGGGCAGCGCTGCGGGCTGCGGGCCCCGAGGGTGTCCTCCCACTGTCCCTGCTGTGAGGCCCGCGAGGCTGTGCCAGGCCACCTCCAGGAGGACACTTCACAGCTGGGCCTTCAGGCAGGGGCCAGGCTGCCCAGCCAGCGCCTGACCCCAGGACGCAGCCTGGCCCGGCAGCAGCCGTGGCCGCCCAACACCCCCACCCCCCCACCTGCCCCCCAAATGACCGTTCACAGGCGCCCTGCTCCCTGCGGTGTTTTCCAGGGGCAGAGACGAACAGGCCGGCTGGGCCCACCTCCACGGTAAAGGATGCGTGTCCACCGGGGGCCGCCTGCTGCACGGGCGCTGCCCTCGGGGCACAGTGGCCAGCTCTGCCACTGGCACTGAGGCCAGGGACGCGGTGGCCCGGGGTGAGCGCGCCCACTCCTGGAGCCAGGCCGCCCTGGCCGCGACCCCAAGGAGCCCCAGGCCCCGGCCCCCGGGCAGGGACTCCGTGCGGTCACCCAAGCCCCAGCCCGCGAGCCCGACCCCCACGTCTCGGAGGGAGGTGGGCAGACCCGGCCACCGCAGACTCAGGGCATCGTGGGGTCACTGGACGAGGGGAAATCAAATCATGTTGGTAAAGTGACCTTAGAGACACCCGGAAACTCCCCTGTCTTCTTCTATTTTACAACCTCGTTAGTGACCATCTCCAGGTCGGGTTGGCGACGGCCAGCGGCGAGCCACCCACAACCAACGCCCTTCGTGGAAACGAGGAAATGGCCGGCGAGTGTCTGGAAATGAGGAGGACAGGGAGGGAGTTCACGCTGTAGAGTTCACGCTGTATTGCTCACGCTGTGTCCAGCACGCGGCTGACAGCCTGCGACATTCCCTTTCACACACGACAGCTTGGCTCCTCGCCAGCAAACTCCAGGTGGAGAAGGAAACCGACAGCGTCGCGGGGCCCTCCCCACGCGGCCTCTGCGGCCAGCGGCCAGCGCGCCCCGCCGGGGCCACCCC